TCAGTTCTAAAAGATTTCCCCTTTATACTTAAACTATGACACCGGTTTCTGGACTCCCCACCATTGGGAACATCCTTCCTGCAGCTAACCTGTCGAGACATGTTAGAATTTTGCGGAGAAGAAGTGAGAAATAATGCATTTTGGTAGGAAGAACATGGACAGACATTAGGACTACAATTTTAAGGGTAGTGCAGGATCAGAGGGACTTGGTGCACAGACCATTGAAGGTGGCAGTTTTGGTGGAGAGAACAGTTAATAAAACATACAGTATTTTGGGCTTTATCAATAGGAGCATTGAGTATGAGGGAAATAAGATTATTTTGAACTTGTATAGGACACTTGTTAGACCTCAACTGGAGTCATCTGTGTAGTTTTCGGTGACGTGAAAAGAAAGATGTGAACATATTAGAGAGGGTGCAGAAGAGGTTCACAAGAATGGTTCAAGAAAGAAGAAACCTCAATTATGAGGATTGACTGGACAGATGGGGAGTGCTCTCCTTGGACAGAAGGCAGCTAAGAGGAGATTTGATAGAATTTATCAAAATCATGAGGAGACCGAATAGAGCAGGTAGGGAAGAAACTGCTCCTGCTCATAAAAGAATCAAATATGAGACGGAATCAATTTGAAGTGATTTGAAAATGACAACGCAAGGTGAGAAAGAACATTTTCACCGAGTTGTTTGGGTCTGGAATACACTGCCTGGAAATGTGGTGGAAGCAGGTTCAAATGAGGTACTGAAGATGGAATTAGAATGATTCATTCAACAGAAACAATGGGCCCAAAATGCCTCTTCCTTTGCCACAACATTGTGATTCTCTACGGTCCAAGATTGTAACAGCAGCTCATCACAGCTTTCTCTCATCTGGGTCACAAATCCTCTTTAGAGAAGGAAATCTGCCACCTTTGCCCAGTCTGGCCTACATGTGATTCCAGACCCACAACACAATGCTTGCTTGTATACTGTCCTCTGAATTTGTTCATCAAACTTCACAGTTCAAGAACAATTTGGGATTTGCAATGAGTTCTAGTTTTGCCAGCAATATCCACATTACCATTCTGAATATCAGGCAATATTCAGAAGTCAATGCTCAACAGCGATTTTGAAGAGATTCAATTTTTTTTAAAAAAATGTAGCTTATAAATCCACAGCTTTAATTACTTTGCTGCTTTTTGCTTTAAATAGGATCACTCATGGAAATATCATTCTGCAGGCCAATTGCAAAGATTGAGACATTTCTTGTCTCTATCACTGCTCAGTACACAACCATAGCTGAAAAGATATAAAAACAAGTTCTCTTTCTTCAGTCACCAGCTAGTCGAATAAATAAATCTTCCCTTTCTTAGTACCTGTGACTTGACTGACACTCAAAAAGCTTTATTTGTGTGTCATTGGAATGCTGCATTCAATTCTAGTCTCCCTGCTGAGAAAGATATCACAAAACTTGAAAGGGTTCAGAAAAGATTTACAAGGATGTTGCCAGGGTTGAAGGGTTTGAGCTATAGGGAGAAGCCGAATAGGCTGAGGCAATGTTCCCTGGAGTGCTGCAGACTGAGGGGTGACCCTACAGAGATTTATAAAAATCATGAGGGACATGGAGAGGATATTTTTTTGCCCCCAGAATAGGGGAGTCTAAAACTAAAGGGCATAGTTTAAGGTGAGAGGGGCAAGATTTAGAAGAGACCTGAGGGGCAACTTCTGGAGCCTGATACAGTGGCAATAACTCCTAAAATAACTGAAGCAGCTTTCGCTGTAGCTGTAAATGCTGCCACAAAGGAGATGACCTATATGCTGTTTGCTTTGTTTACTTAATATTAAGCAGAGAGGCAACATTTTCACGCAGAGGGTGGTGCACGTATGGAACTAGTTGCCAGAGGAAGTGGAGGAGGCGAGTACAATTACAACATTTAAAAGGCATCCGGAAGGGTTTAGAAGGATATGTTTCAAATGCAGGCAAATGGGACCAGATCAGTTTAGGATAGCTGGTTGGCACGGACGAGTTGGACCAAAGGATCTGTTTCCATGCTGTACAACTTTATGACTCTGTTATCAATATGGGTATAATTACAATAGATCATGAAATGCCACCCTTTGAAGGAGTGAGCTCAATAAAGATCAGACATTTTCACACTTCGAAATAAACATGAAAATACAGGGTAGTTTAATCTTAGTAGGATAATAGGTTGGCACAACATCGTGGGCCAAAGAGCCTGCACTGTTCTATATGCTATATGTTCTGTTTTTTGTTAATTAATTGAAATGAAAAGTCTGTTTAAAAGCAAACGGCATATAGGTCATCCCCCTTATGGCAGCATTTACAGCTAAAGAAAGCTGCTTCAGTTATTTTAGGAGTTATTGCCACTGTATCAGACTCCAGAAGTAGGTAACTGGATTAGTTCAGAAATTTCAGGGGTACGTACACTACTGGCCTAATTAAAGCCAGGAATGATAAATGTATTCAACTGCTTCAATCAGCAATAACTGTCACAAAACTTTAACAACGCTCTTCTCTTTCTGGTAAGTACTGTAAAAGCGTGGTTTTAGAATCTGTCAAAGTGTGTTTTGGGATTAACAGGATATCTTACCATGTGATTTTACATTTTTAAATTTGTGCAATGTCATAGGCAGATACATTTATAGCAGGTGAAATGTAACAGATGCAAAACAAATCAAATTGTCCAATTTTCAAGTTATTCCAGGAACAGACACATGGACTTGACCTACACGAAACTTTGAAAGTAGCAGGACTTTAGCAGTTTACCTTGCCTTTATAAAGAGAAGCTGACAGTGCAAAGCAAGGCAGCTTTGGTGAAAATCTTGATAAATAATTTGGATTCAATTCTGCAAGAATTTCAGACATCAGACATTCATGAAGAAATAACGTTCATACATTTTAATTGTTAATAATCTGAACTGCGCAATTCAAAAGAGGATGGTGGGAGCAGATGCATTCTTAACTTTGTAAAAAGAAATTTTTAAAATTTGTAACATTACGGGAGAGGAGGAGGAGAGTGGACCATGTAGTTGCTCTTTCCAAGAGTATAATGGACCAAATTAAGAACCACCACACATACCCCCAACACACTCCTGACTCTCACTTTACCACGCACACTCTAGGCTTCATGACATAGATGCTTAGAGCTTTCAGTCGCATCTATGCAGGCTGACTGAGTGCAGTCTCCCAGCACCGTGGGCTCTGCACAGGACTTTAACAGTAAAAGGGCATTCGTTTGCTTTCATCCTAGACAGGATTGGAAAGTACGGTTGCCAAAAGACTTGAGAAACGAGACTGCAGAGTGGATTCTTAAGGCTGTTATCTTTGCATATATCTAATTACATAAAGATAGCTCACAAAAAGACACTGTCATCTGTTATTATGCTTTTGTTGTTAAATGGTGTCAAAAAAGCAAGAGATGGTAGAAACAATCTGGAATGAACTTTTGATTAATGAAAGTGTTTATTTAATAAAGAAGTGCATAGCTTGGGAAATTCATTAATTGGATACTAATATTTTCAATTTTCAAGCTCCCGAGGTGTACCAGGAGCACAGTTCAGCAAGTTGTTTACATTCCATCATGAAATTGAAGATTTGCATGCAGGAATACAAAGAGAGAAAGCAACTGGCGATGGGGATACCAAACAGACGTTTTTGAACAGTTTGAGTTCAATTCACAGTATTGCTTCAAGCGCAGGATGAGACCAATCGGCCCATTGTTCTACACTGGGTTCTGTTACTCAGTGCCAATCTCCTGCCTTTTCTCCAGATTCCTGTATTTTTATCCAAATAATCATTCAATGCCTCACTTAATGCCTCAATGATCCTGCCCCCGCATCTGCAGGCAGTGCACTGCATACACTAACGACATGCTGCATGAAAAAGCTTTTTATCACATTACCAACTTTGTTTGCACATCATTTTAAAATCGAAACCTACGTTTTCTCGCTTTTAAAAAAAGAACCAAGCAGGGTTAACGTTTCCCTATCAATTCTATCCAGCATGCTCACTATTTTGAAACGCCCTGTCAAATTCTCCTCAGCCTTTTGTATTCCACACCCAACCATTAACCCCATCCTCCTCTGATCACAACCAACCCCTACCACAAATTACCTGGACAATCAAATTGCCAGTACTCGCCGATTCCAGAACAGCCCCAGTGCTCCCAGACTCCCGAAACCCCACAGATCCCAATTCTTATTGCAGGACCCAAGAGGTGTTCCAGTACTTTCAAATTCCCAGACTCCAATCTGTTTACACAGCTGCACCTGAAGACCACATATCACAGACACCAAGTTGATCAGAGAGCATCCCTGATAACATACAAGTCAACACACACCTCCAAGACAGCAATGGTCGAGTATAATGCCTTATACTGTGATGGCCTCCATAGTCTCTCCACCATTCCCCTCCCTTCTTTTCATTTGTCTTTAAAAAAGCACAGCCTAAAATGGGAGTACAAAACTCAGCACAAACAAGGCCCAGGTTCATGGAAGCATAGAATCCCTAGTATGGAAACAGGTCCTTCGGCCCAACAAGTCTTCACTGACCCTCAGAGGATGCTACCCAGACCCATCACCCTATAACCCACCTAATCTACACATCCCTGAATGGTATAGGCAATTTAGCATGGCCAATCCACCTAGCCTGCACATCTTTGGACTGTGGGAGGAAACCGGAGCACCCGGAGGAAACCCACGCAGACACGGGGGAATGTGCAAACTCCACACAGAGTCGCCCAAGGCTGGAATCGAACCTGGGTCCCTGGTGCTGTGAGGCAGCAGTGCTAACCACTGAGGCGCCATGCCGCCCCAGGTTAGACTGAATAGGTGAATAAAGGAAAACAGGTTTATGGAACAGGTAGGGTAAATGTAATGCACACCAGTTAACAATGAAACTTTCATGTACTATAAAATGGAATTTGCAGCTGATTACTGTCACAGACACAACAGTCATTATAAATAAATCTCAACCACAAAAAAGGACTTACATGCTTTTAAAAAAAGTTATGCACCCACCTCTTCACTGGCCAAGAAGACTAAAATATTGCCTTCCTCTCCTTTCCTGTGGATATCCAGTACAGTTTGTGCAGCAGCTGAAACACAGTCCTTAAACTGGCCATCTCTGTATATAACTTCCACAGGAAAGGAAGCTTCCTCAGCATCATCCACTTTTACAAAAGGCACTCCAGCATAGTAACTTCTAAGTCTGCTCTCCAGATGTGGTGCTGTGATGACCACTATCTTCAGTTCTGGCCTCTGCCTTGGCAAGTCTTTCAATAAACCAAGCAGAACATCGGTTGCCACTGTCCGCTCGTGAGCCTCATCAATAATTATAACTCCATAATGATGCAACAAGGGATCAGACATCATTTCACGGAGCAAGATAGCATCCGTGCAGTACCTTTGGGAAGAGAAAACAAAACTTGCTTTGTATAGCACTTTATCGTCCCTGGAGCACATCACTGAATTCAGTATAACCAACGGATTATGTTTTTAAGAAATGCATTATTCCATTAGTATTCACTGTGGTTTTTAAACTTGTTTATGGGATAGTGGTGTTGCTGGCTAGTATTTTTTTGCCCAGAGAACAATCCAGCATCAACCACATCACTGAAGAGTTCTGAAATACTCAAAAACACGACCATTACGACAGTGTCTTTCCTGCAGCCCTTCTTGCTCATCTCAGAAGAATGTGTTTTTCCACTTTATTCTTTCAGGATGTGGGCACCACTGCTGAGGTCAGCAATTTCTGCCCATCCCTAATTACCCCTTGGCTTGCTTGGTCATTTCAGGAGCCAATTAAGAGTTGAGTCCATTCCTATGGATCTGGAATCACATGTAGGCCAGGCCAAGTAAGGATGGCAGAGTTCCTTTCCCTGAAGTGAACAAGATGGGTTCCATGGAGCTATTATTGGTAGCTAAGTTTCAACCACAAATTTTAATCAACTGAATTCAAAGTCTCCCACTTGCCATGATAGGACTCGAACCAATTTTCCCAGAATATTAATCTAGGACTACTCACCTAGTGACATACCCACTACACAATCTCTATGTAACATATTTACCTTATTTTTGTTATATTGTACAATATCAGGGTGGGAAAGGCAAATGAGCCAGTGGTATTATCGTTGGACATTTTTGATTCAAATTACAGGTCAACTGCATCGCTGGCTAGGCCAGCATTTATTGCCAATTCCCTAAATTACCCAGAGGGCCATTAGGAGTCAACCACATTGCGGTGGGTCTGGAGTCACATATAGGCCAGACCAGGTAAGGATGGTAGTTTCCTTCCCTAAAAGGAGTTAGTGAACCAGATGGGCTTTTCTCAACAATTGACAATGGATTCATGGTCATCATTAGACTCTTCATTCCAGATTTGCATTGCATTCAAATTCCACCATCTTGGCGGAATTCAAACCCAGGTGCTCAAAACATTATCTGGGTCTCTGAATTAACAATCCAGCAATAATACTACTAAGCCATCGCCTCCCCATTTAATAGTAATTCTGACTATTAAGCCAGAAATTTAGATAATGTTCTGGGGTTCTGAGTTGAAATCCTGCCATGGCAGGTGCTGGAAATTGAATTCAATAATAAAACATCTAGAATTAAAAGTCTTATAATGACAATGAAACCACTGTCGATTGAAAAACCATCTGGCTCACTAATGTCCTTTAGGGAAGGAAATCCGCCATCCTTACCTAATCCGGCCTACATGTGACTCCAGACCCACAGATCCCCTTAGCTGCTTTCTGGGCAATAAATGCTAGCACCAGCCAGCGATATCCACATCTTGTGACCAAATTTAAACAAAATCTGTGTTACAAATGGATTACTTGCATCAGGAATTCCTAAACTATGGGTGCCATGAAGAATTGGGGTTCATAAGTCCCTCCTCAGACAGCAGTTCTGACTGTGCAGAACATCCCCGAGACCCTGTGACACACACTTGGGCAATTTCTGTTCTTTGTGCGGCTCAAAGATCACGACCCAAGGGAATTGCTCTGAAGCCCCATCACTGTCAATCTCAAAGCTTGCAAAATGATTGCGGTTAAGAAAAGAAAATCATTCCCCGCTCTCACAACTCCCCGTTAATCCCACACTCTCGTACGGCCCAATCTGAAGCTTTCAGCATCATAGCTAGCTCTCTCCACTTTTCCATTAAGTGATAAGTGATGCAGAGACAAAAGTTTAGAGCTTTAAATCATGTCATAACAACCACGTGCGTACCCCATGAACACCAGGGAAGCTCACCATATGCAATGAGGCAAATTGGATGGTCAAAAGCAAGAGGGTGGATTAGACTGCAGTAGAAGTTACAGATTGGAGGGTCAGCAGTAAAAAGGGCAGGTTAGAGAGCAGAAACTGTTCCAAAACGACAATCCATTCACACAGTTACACAGCACTGCATGTGCACAGTATGGTGTTTCAATCTATCAATTGTTTTTCCCAAAGCAAGAAATATCTGTAGGGACTAGCAGGGTCAGAGTGGGAGGGACAACTCCAGTCCCATGTGGTTACAACAAAATGTAAAAGTGCAATCAAGGGTGCAGTTTGCTATGTGTGAAGAGACAAAATAAATACTAGTGACAGTGCTTTAGAGAATAATCTATACATACATCACTTTGGTAGGAAGAATAAAACAAAAAGACTTCAGAAAGCTGCAGCAAGAGCAAGTTCTTGCCCATGAATCACAACATGCTAGTATCCAGGTTGTGGGTAAAGAGGAAGGCAAATAGAATGATGGCATTTATTTCAAAGGGAAAAGGAGAATAAAAAGTAAGGAGGTCTTGCTAAAACTATACAAGGCACAAGTCAGAGTACAGTAGGAATATAATCGAATGGCTTTACTCCTCTTATCCAAGGAAAGATATACTGGCATAGCAGGCAGTCCAGAAGGTTCACTAGGTTGAACATGAATACAAAGGAATTTTCTTATGAGAGGTTGAATAGGTTGGGCTTGTACTCAGAGTTTAGGAGAAGGAGAGCTGACCTTGTTGAAACATACAAAAGGGACTTGAAAAGATAGACAATGGAAAGGTGGTTTTCCGTCATGGGTGGGTCTACGACTAGAGAGCACAATCCCAGAAAAAGGAATCACCAATTTAGGATGCAGAGGAGTACAATTTTATTTTTCTCTCAGGGGGTGGTTAATCTGTGGAATTCTTTACCAGAGACAGCAGGTGAGGCTGCGTCATTAAGTATTCACAAGGCTGAGAAAGACATATTTCTAATTAATTGTTATGGGGATAAAGCAGGAAAAAGAAGTTTAGCATGATCAGATCAGCCATAAATCTCATCGAATGGCAGGATGGACTCAACAGGCCAAATGGCCCACTTCTACTGTTATATTTTCTGGTCTTATCACACTTTTAACATAACAAAATGTCTGGCCCCACTTCCTTCCATTACCTCATCAAAAGACTTCTCTCCATCATAAAATCAAAGGTGAGGCTCCCTGTGAATCATTACAGATTTTGGCTCCATATCCTACTTCACTTACAATGATACAGTTTAGCATAACATGGACTTTGGACAACATCCAGACTTAGGCTGAGATCTGGCAAGTAACAGATCTACTATGCAAATACTATACAACTACCAACACTAATAAGAGAAAGACAATTCTCAGAGCTCCTGCTGGCAACATTTTGGTAGTGGTGGTGGTGGTGAAGGGAGTGGGAGCACTCCAGAAGCCAAACTGGAACAGCAATATCAACACCATGGTTATGAGAGGACAAGAATGCAACAAGTGATTCACCACTTTCACTCTCAAAGCCCAGAGTTAAAGCCTGTTGATGACGTCTGTGTGAGGAAAACAAGCACTCACGGGAGAACAGTAAACAGCAACAATAACCTTGCCTTGGAGGTGGGGAAAAAGGAGACATTCAGCCCATTTTGCTCGTGACGCCTCTGAAAGGCGTACTCAAGTAATCTTCCTTAAGGAAGTGAAAGCAGATAATATTGTAACCACTGCCAACTGGTCCAAAAAACCTTTCTGGTTCACTAACATCCCTTAGACAAAGCAATCTGCCATCCTTACCCAGTCTGGGCTACATACGACATCAGACCTGCAGCAATGCGGCTGACTCTTAACTGCCTCTGTACAACTTAATGGCTTGCTAGGCCATTTCAAAATTGCAAACGAGTCATATAGTCAAAACTGTACAGCGTGGAAACAGACCCTTCCATCCAACCTGTCCATGCTGACCAGATATCCTAAATTAATCTAGTCCCATTTGCCAGCATTTGGCCCATATCTCTCTAAGCCCTTCCTATTTATACATCCATCCTGATGCCTTTTAAGTGTTGTAATTGTACCAGCCTCCACCACTTCTTCTGGCAGCTCATTCCATACACCCACCACTCTTTGAAAAAATTGCCCCTTAGTTCCCTTTTATACCTTTCCCCTCTCATCTTAAACATATGCCTTCTATTTTTGGACTCCCTCACCCTGGAGAAGAGACCTTAGCTATTGACCCTATCGATGCCCCTCATGATTTTATATACTTCTATACGGTCACCCCTCAGCCCCTGATGCTCCATGGAAAATAGCCCCAGCCTATTCAGCCTCTTCCTGCAGCTCAAATCCTCCAACCCTAGCAACATCCTTGTCTAAACTATTTCAGCCTAGAATTCTTGTACTCAAGGCCTGGGCTGACTTAGCCCCAAAGCTGACTCATATACAAGGAGGCTACCAACTGGGCCACAACAGACTCCAAGAGTCAAAATTGCTCCTTAAATCCTATTTCTGATTAGTTTTATAATCATCTACCCCAAATGTTTCTACATTGTAGAGTGCCAAATACTCCAGTGAAGTGCCTTTCGATGTTAAAAGTTCAAGTTGTTGATTTAGTAGAGGGGGAAAGGGGATTTAGTTTTAAGCCGTCAATAGATTTGATATGGTCCACATTTGACAGTTCACTTCACATCAGAAAGACAGCTGGTTAGACCAGGAAAAAGTAATGGAATAAAAAAAAGGTAGGAAGAAGGAAAAAAAAAACAGGACTAGACTGATCACTTGCCACATGTAGGTAAATACATCTTTCATATTTCAAGGCATGAATGTAGGATGAGAAATAAGCTAGTTAAAAGAAAACAAAAGCAGAAAGTATCTGACAAGTACTCAAGATAGAAAGTCAGAACTTGTTTGTGATCAGGACAATGTACAGAGCTTTACATTTAAGAGCGTGGAAGCTTTATTCTGTATATAATACCGTTCTGTCCCTATCCTGGGAGTGTTCAATGGGGACATCATTGAGGGAATGTTACTTTGTTTAAAATATTCAAGAAAGTTTTACTCCCTACCGAACCCTGTGCTGTCCACAAAAAAAAAAATTGGCTTTTGTATTTATCCCTCGATTCTGTTCCCTCTTTTGATCAGTTTTGTTTCCACAGGCTATCAGAGATTTAATTAAAATAGGCCATCACAAGAAGGTAAATTAAGCTAAGAAACATTTGTGACAACAAAAAAACCCCACAAAATTGGCATATTGACAAAGCAATACACACACTGACTGCCAAGGGAACTTCAGTTTTAAAAAAGAAACATTTGATAATAGATCATCTTCCTTGCATTCTACATTTCTGTGGGAGTTGAAAGATTCAGCCGTCATGAAGAGGAAATAAAATAAAATATCATAGAAGAACTGAATTAAAATCTCATGGCATTGCAATCTTTGCATAGTTACTTCCAATAACAAGCAGCCAAATGGAAGTGATTCAAAGCACTGTGCCCACTGACACAGGTAGGGCATGTCCTGGGACATGCTGTACGCACTATGCTTTAACATTTAGGAGGAAATTTCACAACTGAAGGCTATGACATAAATAGATTAAACTACTCAAAACTATTTACAATTAACAGATTTAGGACAGGGCAGCAGAGATTTATAAAAGTGAATGCTTACCAATGTATATAAATTTATAGACCCAGATATACAAATAGGAATTCAATCCTGTTTTGCAACCAATTAAAAGATTTCCATATTTCAATGCTGTGCAAGAGCCAACTACCATTTCCAGCAGTCTATCTGGCACTAGCAACTTAATCTTAAGGAACAGAAAACAATAATAAGCAGCCACTGCTTTGCTCTTACTGCTTGTGACTTCTTCAGAAACATAACAGAGAGTGAAACATATGTCTGGAACTCTCAACATCAATACTGCGTGTTATAGTTTGGTATACATTTCATTACATTACTTTGCCACTAATGAAGGATAGTCTACTACCCTAGCTGGTCAACACAGATAATCATGGCATCATACAACTTCTAAAATGTTTTTTCCCCCTAATGAGAAAACGTGAGGACTTAAGTGCATTTTGTTCACCAAGTGAAGCTTTGCTGGTTCGTAGCACATTTCTGTTAACACCTTATTTTACATCTGCAGAGGTACAAGTTCAATGATGGTCATAGCATAGCGACCAGCAGAAACAGCTCTGGCTTTTTCACCATATGTCCATTTTAATGCCAAGTGATGTAGATTTCCACTGCAGACTCCTAAGCACCAGTCTAGTTGAAATCAGCTAACTTGGTACATACTGGGAGTGACACATTCATAACAAAGTTGCAGGCTGAAGATCTACTTCAAAGATTTGAACACATATTCTATGTTAACGCTCCAGTTGAGGACTGAGCATTTGCTGCACTGTTGGATGTGCATTTTGTTGGAGAAGATCAGAAGTTAAATTGAAACCAACTGACTCAAGTGAATGCAAAGGACCTCCGGCAATACCGAAGAAAATTTGGGGATTTACCCCTGGAATCTTGGCCAATACTTATCCCTCAACCAACATCACAGACCTTGTCCACCCCAGTTCAACACCGGCACCTCCACAACATCACTGAAAGCAGACAGAGAGACTGGTTATGATCATATTGTTGTTTCTGGAGCTTGCTATATTCAAACTGTTTACGGCACTTCATACATTAGTAGACTTCCAGAATACTTCATCTGCAGCGCAAATGTTGGAGCAACTGGAAGTCATCTATTCCCGTATAAAAGCGAGGCCTTCTCTTTGTTTGTGTGGCTTAGTACGATATGGTGTTTTCTCAGAGTTAACAGCCAATGAACTGCAAAATATATGCTCATGTCGGACACATCTTAGAGATTTCAGTGTGATCTTACTTAGTCATCAACAGCTCTGATTTGCCTTTTCCTAAGGCTTACTTTATAGCTCTCTGCCAGTGACAGTTAATATCACTTTCCATTCCAAGTGATAAAGAATTGAAAATTTACTGAAAAGATTCACGTGCATGCAAAGCTGACCTGAGAATAGTTTCTGTCGTGCAGCAGTCTTCATAAGGGACATGGTATCCAATCTCATGACCCACATTCAAGTCCAGTTCATCTGCCACACGTTGTGCCAAACACATAGCAGAAAGGCTGTGGGGTTGTGTACAGACTACCATGCCACGCTGATACTGAACAGAGAGGGCATATTCAGCACACCACTGAGAAATCTAAGAGGGAAAACAAAATGAGCCAGACATTAACTTCTAATTTTCTAATTCACACAAGCAACTTTTTATTGTTTGCCGATTTTCAACAATACAGTAACTGTCGTAAAATTAATATTTCAATGGATGAAAATACAGCTAATAGCTTTTACTTTACTACGTAACAAAAAGATTTTGCCGTACAGCAGGTCCACGATTTATAAACATCCAACTTACAAATGCTTGCACTCACGAACACAATCCTATGCAGGAGTGTAATTTTAAAGACCCGAAACACAACATTTCCTATACTTACAAACAGCTGCTTTACATTTCCCTGACATGTGTTCCAACTTGTATACAACTCAACTTCTGAATGGACTACAGAGCAGAACCATTTGCAACCTGGAGACTGCCTGTAAAATCAATTTTCTTCACCTGACTGCAAAGCTCGATGAAGTTAGATCAAATTACATTTCAAGATGCCCTCCAGGGGTGGTCCCCACAATGCAGCAAGAACTCATCAGGTTTGTACGCTATTTTGTTGCCCAGTGCAAATTAATTTGAGACAGACTAACTTTATTTTCTAAAGGATCCTTTCAACTCAAAGAGAAAGACCACTCCCACTTAGCAAAAGATCAGACTGAGAAAACTTCAAAGAATGGAATTACTACAGCTTGCTCAGAAAATTACTCGAGTAATAGCAACAGATTTGAATTTTGGAATTATTTGCTTCAGTATTCAGAGAAAGCAAATAAAGTCTACAGAGGCCTATAGCTGTGGAACACTGAAGAAATGATGAGGTATTAGTAAGGAAAGTATTTTATAAACTGACAATATCATCACTGGCAAGTGTCCAGATCAACACCCCAGAATATCAAAACGAGATTCATGAAGACGTACCAGAGGACCCAAACACGATTTTGTCACAATTCAGCACGTGAAAGTTCTGAATTGATACGATTCCTTTGGCAGAAATGAGAAGAAGAGGAGGATATGCTAGGCAATAATCACTGGCTAAAATTTAAAAACAGGAGGACCACCAAAGCCAAAAAATTGATAATGGCTATGAAGTGGTGGTTGTAAAAATCCTTGATGGATTTGGGCAGGCTATTCATTTCAAATTCCAGATTGGGTTCGATCAAGTGCCACAGAAGAAACTAGATGACAAAACTAGTTCTGTACAAGAGAAAAGTGGCAGTAAAGACTGAAAACAAAATGGCAAAGATATACTGCAAAAGATTACAATGAATGTTTCTCAGCTGGGTAAGCATGTGTTAGTAACAAAAACAAAGTTGCTGGAAAAGCCCAGCAGGTCTGCCAGCATCTGTGAAGGAAAAAACATAGTTAACGTTTCAGATCCAGTGACCCTTCCTCAATTCTGAGGTGGGAAACGTCAGCCTTCCTGCTCCTCTGATGCTGCTTGGCCTGCTGTGTTCATCCAGCTCTACACCTTGTTATCTCAGATTCTCCAGCATCTGCAGTTCCTACTATCTCAGAATCAAGCTTCATCTATACAAAGTATGGTTAGACCAATGTGTCGTTCATCTCTAGACACCAATACTCTGGCTACGAAAGGAATGCAGCATAGATCAGTTAGAATGACACCAGGACTCAAAAGGTTTAAAAAAAAAAAAAAGAATTTTTGGTCTTTTCTTCATGAAATCTGGACCATGTCGGCAACATTAGCATTTATTGCCAACCTCCAATTTCCCTTAAGCAGCTGCCTTCTGGAGCTGCTCCAGCCCATGTGATGTAGGTACACAGAGTGACCACATTTTTTTCAAGTGAGAATGGTGTGTGGCTTGAAGGAAAATTTACAGTTTGTAGTGACTGCTGCTCATGTTCTTCTAAACAGTACAGCTTGTACATTTGACACATGCTACAGTTTTTTTTCTGTCAATAGCACGCATTGTTACGAAAATGTGGAGGCTGTAGAGGAAGTAAATGTTTAAAGAGTGGGAGATGGTAAGTCAAAAGGATTGCTTTGTCTGGTTGGCATGGAGTTTCTCGAATGTTGTTGGAGCTGCAGTCCTCCAGGCAAGTGGAAGAGTATTCGATCACACCTGACTTACTTTGCAGATGGCAGAAAAATTGTGTGGAGCCAGGAAGTGAGTGACTCATGGATGAATTTCTGACCTTTGACTTGTTCTTGTAGCCATACTATTTATATAACTGGTCCAGTTCAACTTCTGGTCAATGGTGACCCTTAGAATGGTGATGAGGATTTAGCTATGACTTTAATCATTGAATAGCATTGTGATTAGATTGTCTCCTCTTGGAATGGCCATTGCCAGGCATTTCTGTCATATGAATACACTTGCCATTTCTTCATCCAAAACAGTGCAGTCGTTCTGGATGTGGACACTGACTGCTCCAGTATCTGAGAAACTGAGTGTGGAACTAAATATCCTCATTTCTGACCTTAAAAGAAAACAAGAGCAAGGGAAGGTCATTGAAGTTGGACAAATTTATTAAACTATCCTGAACAGCTTCAGCAGAGATGCAGAAGATTATACAAATGAGGGTTGCACTTCTGGGATTTGGACTGTTGACGGGTGATTTGATTGACGTCTTTGAGATATTAAGGAAAACTGACAAGGTGAATAAAGAGAAAGCACTGGTTGGGAATGATAGGAGTCAACAAATACAGAAGTTGCTGGAAAAGCTCAGCAGGTCTGGCAGCATCTGTGAAGAAAAAAAATCAGTTAATGTTTTGGGTCCTGTGCAGTTCTGAGTAAGGGTTGCAAGACCCAAAACGTTAACTCCGATTAGATCAGCTTTTTCAGCAACTTCTGTTTTTGTTCCTGATTTACAGCATCCGTAGTTCTTTTGGTTTTTTTGACAGAAGAGCCAAACCTTTCAGAAGTGAATTTTGGAAACAACTGTACAAACAAAGGATAATAGGTATTTGGAACTCACCTGACACTGTTTGTTCTTAATTTTAAATCTAAGATTGGTACACCTTAATACCTATCGCTGAAAAAGTTGATGAGGCAAAGGGAAGTATCAGGAATTAAAATAGGGATGAGTTATGATCTTTTAAAATAGTGCAGCAGTCTCAAAAGGACTAAATAGTCTACAACCACATCTACGAGACTAACAATGTGAACATTTGTAATACAAATGCTATATGCCACAGCTGCTCGTGATTCCCCGCAAACTGAGTTTCAGCCTCCTGATCTATAGTTTGGCAAAGGTCCTCTCCTTAGGAAGAAGTACATACATTATGGTCACTACAGCGAACATCAATTCTTCATTCCTCCACTTTAAATAGCAATAAATTGATTTCTAAATATGAGAGAGAGTTGAGCCTCCCCACATTCTTTCTATCAAAACATATCACTTCATATTTCTCAGAATTAAATTTCATCTGCTATATTTTTATCCATTCCATGTCCGAAGTCCAAAACTGAGTCCATCGCAATTGTCCCAACTGGAAGGAGAAAGCTTTTCAGGGCCGTTACAATGTTAGGGCTTCACTCTCATTAGAGAGCGAGCGAGTGTACTAGCTGTGGTTTAACCTGAGGGCCACCAGGCCTCAGGCGAGGGGAGAGTTTGAAAAGGACAGTCCTTCATGGTAACTTCAGTTGATGGTTGGTTAATTAAATCAGCTGATTGAACCCACACTGTTGGCATCACTCTACATCAAAAACTCGTCATCCAGACAACTCAGCTAACCAGCTCCAGGGCCAGTGAAAAGGAAAACAGAATGGACAGATCTTTCAAATGCCCCCAAAGCTTTCTATCTCAACCTTCCAAAAGAAATCTATGATCCTATAACTGCAGCATTGAAATTTTGTCTTGAATGACTGTTGTTTTACCTGGAAGACCAACTCATGAATTAAATTGCAATCCTGAGAAGAATGATGAACACTGCTTTAACACAACTGCAACCTGTGCATTCTTAAGCCCACAAAGGGTAGTCGACTCTCTCAAATACTTAATCCCAACGTTGGAAAATGGAATCAGAGATAGTAGGAACTGCAGATGCTGGTGAATCCGAGACAACAAAGGTGCAGGGCTGGATGAACACAGCAGGCCAAGCAGCATCACAGGAGCAGAGAGGCTGACGTTTTGGGCCTAGACCCTTCATCAGAAAAGGGGGAGGGGAAGGGGGTTCTGAAATAAATACGGAGAGAGTGGGAGGCGGATAGAAGATGGATAGGAGAGGATACAAACAGGTCGAAGAGGCGGGGATGGGGCCAGTAAAGGTGAGTGTAGGTGGGGAGTTAGGGAGGGGATAGGTCAGTCCAGGGAGGACGGACAGGTCAAGGGGGATGTGAAGGTAATACAAGATGGCTATTCCTTGTGAATCATCATGCATTCAATCAAAACTTAAATGAAACTAGCAGAGCTCTAGCAGCTGACCTGTGTCTCAGAGTCATGTGCATAAGAGCTGTGGCAAGGTGGAGGAGGAGAACAAGTTTTGAAAAATCACATGGTTTGGATTGTAAAAACCATCTGTAAAAACTTCTCGTTTACTATTGTCTTTAAAGGAAAGGCAATCTGCCAACCTTACCAAAATAGAAACATAGAATATAAAAGCAGCAGTAGGCCATTCAGCCCTTCAAGCGTTCTCAGCCACTCAATGTAGTCATGCATGATTATCCAACTCAGTAGCCTGCTCTCACTTTTCCCTCCACAACTTTTGATCCCTTTAATCCTAAAAGAATGCTTTGGCCTCAACAGTTTCCTGTGACAAAGAATTCCACAGTCTCACCACTAAAAAAAAAGACATGCTCTTTCACAAATAATTTGCTCAAAAAAAAATCAAAACCACCCTCTGTCAACTCTACTTGTGTACACGTCAGTAAACATGCTGTAGGGTGTCTCAAGGCATTTCACGGCTGAAGTGTCAACGAATGACTCAATTTTTGCTTTAGTAATTTACAAACATGATCTCAATTGCTGGATGTGTTTGCATCTTCATTATTGTCTAAGTTATCCAATATTTAACAGCCAGTGATTCCATTTACTCGAAGCACTAGTCACTTTTTAATCAAAAGTGACTTTATTTTTC